ACACACACTCTCTGACACTGACACTGACACTCACACACACACACACACACACACACACACACACACACACACACACACACACACGGCCATGCCCACGTTACTGCATTACTTTGTGAGACTGCAGAAGCCTTAAATCACAAACGTAAGTAGAAACTCTCACAGATGTAGCAATTTCATAATATATATTTTCAGCATTTATGTCATCATTTTGTTTGATATCAAAGAAGGCAATAACAGGAATGAGTCCTAAACTAAACCTGAAATCAGGGGCCTGTACTACGAAGCAGGTTCAACCTAACCTGGATATGTTTGAGTTAGCCGGTTGGCCTAATCCAAAACATACGCGCTCTCGCTAAACGGTACTACGACGCGGGTTATCAAGTGGATCGCTCAAGCCAGCCGTGTCCTATCTAGTTAGGTGCGCGTTCACATGAAAGGGGTGGTATCTGGAGCATTCGACCAATCACAAACATGGAGAAGCGCACTGACAGCGCAGCGTCATACTTCCTGAATGAAAAGTGAACTATAATATTAGTCAAAAATGAAGAAGTTAAACTTTAAACATCCATGTCTTGAACACTTGATCCAGGATCAAAGCCACAGAGCTGCACCTGCAAGGTGAATACAGCTGGGCAACAGAACAAGTGTTTGAATGCGTACATTAACAGGTTTATGATATCACTGCCCCGTCTAAAACACTATCTGACTTTAATTACATTTGACTCGAGTGTTTCGTCAACTTAATGTGTTGCTTAAAATAATACTTCTGCATCCAGTCTGTGACACTGTGAGTGTTGCACGGCCCGATACGGCTCAGCTGACTCAGATCAGGAGATATATGATGATGAAGTGATATGCCGCGGACTGTACTTAATGTTACTCTGATCCGGTTACTTATGTTGTGGCAGATATGTAAGTAAGCTTTCTTAACGCTAATGTTATAATAGTCAGATTGCTCTGAAGATGGAGGTGATATTCTATTCATGTTCACGTTCACACAGTCGCTGATTTTTGCCGGCCGTCTTTCCTGCGACGGCAGCTTTTCTGTATTTAATTTCTCCTGTAATATGACTTGATCGCTTTAAACTCCGCACACTGAGCTCTGATTGGTCAGCAGGCAGTGCTTTCACTGAGTTGAGCTCTTAGCCTGCAACCTAACCTGGTCCGGGGCTGGCTAGCCGCTCAGCATAAGTTACCATGGAGATCTAGCCCGCTAAAAAGAGAACCAGCGTCGTAGGACCGGAAACCCCGAGTTTTCCCTGAAGTTAGCCGGCTAAGAGAACATCCGGCTTCGTAGTATACCCCCCAGGTCTGTGGTTAACACAAGCTGAAGAGATTTTAAAGTTTTGTTCTACGAAACTGGTGGATTTTAAAATGAAGGTAACACGTGTCTAAATGAGACGACTAAATGCCATCACGACCAACATTAGCCTCATTTAGCTTAGCGGGGGTCACGTGAAGTCATGTGACCGTGCTGTAGTTCCTTTATAGCCCAACATTAGCCACCTTTAGCTTAGCGGTGGTGACGTGAAGTCATGTGACCGTGCTGTAGTTCCTTTATAGCCCAACATTAGCCACCTTTAGCTTAGCGGTGGTGACGTGAAGTCATGTGACCGTGCTGTAGTTCCTTTATAGCCCAACATTAGCCACCTTTAGCTTAGCGGTGGTGACGTGAAGTCATGTGACCGTGCTGTAGTTCCTTTATAGCCCAACATTAGCCACCTTTAGCTTAGCGGTGGTGACGTGAAGTCATGTGACCGTGCTGTAGTTCCTTTATAGCCCAACATTAGCCGCTTTTAGCTTAGCGGTGGTGACGTGAAGTCATGTGACCGTGCTGTAGTTCCTTTATAGCCCAACATTAGCCGCTTTTAGCTTAGCGGTGGTGCCGTGAAATCATGTGACCGTGCTGTAGTTCCTTTATAGCCCAACATTAGCCTCCTTTAGCTTAGTGGTGGTGACGTGAAGTCATGTGACCGTGCTGTAGTTCCTTTATAGCCCAACATTAGCCCCATTTAGCTTAGCGGTGGTGACGTGAAGTCATGTGACCATGCTGTAGTTCCTTTATAGCCCAACATTAGCCCCCTTTAGCTTAGCGGTGGTGACTTGCAGTCATGTGATCGTGCTGTAGTTCCTTTTATAGCCCAACATTAGCCGCCTTTAGCTTAGCGGTGGTGACGTGAAGTCATGTGACCGTACTGTAGTTCCTTTATAGCCCAACATTAGCCACCTTTAGCTTAGCGGTGGTGACGTGAAGTCATGTGACCGTGCTGTAGTTCCTTTATAGCCCAACATTAGCCTCCTTTAGCTTAGCGGTGGTGACGTGAAGTCATGTGACCGTGCTGTAGTTCCTTTATAGCCTAATATCTGCTTTTTACCTCAGAAATCATAGTGGGGTGAATATGTGGAAATTATCCTGCTCTACTTCTACATTAGAAATGTATCTCATATAAAGTAATATAAAGTAATTCTACATCAATTCATAAAACGACCATAGCAGGGTATGATAGTCGTAAAAATATAACTAGAAAGTTATTAAGATAAAACTGTCTAGAAAGTAAAATGTGGTTGCAAAAAGAAACTAATATCATTGGTTATTTCGCTGCAGAAAAGATGACTAAAACATTATATTTTCATTTATATTTCAATATTTACAAATATATAGCAGAATATATCGTACAGTATCACGTCAATATCATGCATACACAGTATTTTGACTGCTATGACAAATTAAAGAATGACCTCAGTTGTCAGATGGTGTGTCACACTTTTCGTCCTCCCTCTTGCACGTGACCTTATCAAAAGTTCCCACCTTGCATCACTTCCTCTTTAATTTCTGTTTCCATCTCTCCTTTTGTATTAACCTCCCTCCCTTGTCCTCACCTCTGCCCTTAAACATCCCTTACGTGTGTCCTTGTTTCCTTCTCCTCTCTACAAGGTTCATCCTCTCCTTTTTATTATTTGCACGCCCTCTCCCCTGACATCGAGTGCAAGCGTTTATATTCAGTGGATGTTTCACCTCAAAGGTGTGTGTGGTTCAGGTGGGGGGATGCACTCAGAGGTTAAAGTGGTAATGACCTGCCAATTAAATCCTCCAAGGACGAGGAAAAAGGCTTTTATTCTTTGTGAAATCAACACAATCCCACACTGACCTTTGAATACACACATACACGCCTAATAGTTCCTCAAAACCAAAAATGTCCTCACAGAACCGGTTGTTTCTCAATAATTGGTCCTCACATGTATAGCAAAACAAGAACACACTGCACTTGTATACTTTTACGGCCCTTAAAACAAACCCATTCCCTAACCCATAACACACTAACTTTAATCCCAAAGTAAACTATAATCCTTTTAAGCAAATAAGAGGAATTGAGGTGCCTTTAAAAATGTCCTTACACTTTAGATGGTCCTCACAAAGGTCAAATAAAAAACTAACACACACTCAAACATGTTTGTAATTCACCACCTCTGAGGACCCTAAAACGCACAATTCATTTGCTAATGTCACCAACCTTGATTGCAAACTAAAATATACACCCTTTAAGGTTAGAAGAAGTATTTAGGTGACTCTAAAAATGTCCTTACACTCCAGATGGTCCCCACAAAGGTATAATAACAAGAGCTATCATACACACTCAATTAAAAAACCAGCATAGTCTATTTTTAAATCTAAACCAGCAGAGGCTTGCAGTGACTGTGGAATACAGTTTGTGTAGGAGTGATAGTAATTCAGACTGATGGATGACGGCCATTTAGGCATGCACAATTTTGGATCATGCTGATATTTTCCAACTCTATTCGGCAAATATTGACATACGCACACATTTTATTCCCAGCTGATTGCAGAGAATATGTTCTTATGATGGCCTACTGTCAGATGCAGACATGAAATATACACAGATTGTCACACTTCCTGGTCAAAATAAGAAGCTACGGTAAAATCTAAAACCTGGCATTTCTTTTTGTATAACATCTCTGTCTGTCATATTAGAGGACATGATCATTTCTGGACACAATTTCATTTTACAACCAACGCTGTGCTTCCCTTACAGCTCAGACTCTTTACACTGTTGTCTCATGTTTTATAAACCAAACACTTGATTGATTGATTAAGAAAATAATCAGGTCATTATTCGAAAATAATTGTAAAATGTTTCTCGATATTTCAGTAAAGTCACTTTTTTCCATTGCAGGCCTTAAGGCTAGGATGGAGACCGTTTAAGAGAATAACATGTATACAAAACACTATTTTACACCTCAGATAAAAACATAGAAAAACCACACGTTCTATCTTAAAAATGTTCCAAAAGGATGTTGTACTTTACATCCTCTTGCTTTTGCTATTTATTTTAAATAATATTCCGATTTAATTTAATTTGTGATTTTATTCAGCTTCTTCCTCCCTGTGCAGAGAGTTCTGCTTCTTCCTACTCTACTTTGGGTTGTTTCAGGTTAGACACACTCGCCCTATTATTCAGGCCATGAGAGTCCCTCACACACTTCAAATTCCCAGGGAAGTCATTGAGCTGCTAAACGCAGAAGTGCATGGATAAGAAGGGTGTGTGTGTGTGTGTGTGTGTGTGTGTGTGAGAGATGCTCCTTTGCTCTGCGCTGTAAGTGGCTATGTCTGCAGTGTGTGATATTATAAAGTCTGCAGGTGAAGTGTGTCTCTGCAGCTCTTGAACTGGGTGTACATTATCACCTTGCAAAATCGTTTAGCTTTCTTAACCTTGCAACACACATACAGACACAATCACACAGCAACACACATACAGACACAATCACACAGC